CTGCTAATCCCTCCACTGGCTTCAACCCCTTAAGACTCATCTCTTCGGGGAAGCCTATCCCACCTCAAGCTAACTACTCAATCATTCATCCCCACACAGCTACCTCCTCATGTATCACTTCCCCCTCCCTCTTTTGTAAGCCCTCAGGGGCAGGGCCCTCCTTACCATCTTGTCTTGAATTGTATTGTGACTTTAATGTCTTCCTTATATTGTAAAGCACTGCGCAAACTGTTAGCTCCATATAAATCCTGTATAATAATAGAAAAATATTATATTAAGAAGAAGAATACACATCCTGCCCTAGGGTGACAACGCTCATTTATCATGCTGTATAGATAGAGGAGTAGTGTTGTCACTCTAGGATCGAACACCTCCCCTTTTTCTCATAACAGAGGGAAGGGTTTCTGTAGTTCACAGAGAAAACTGGAGACAATGTAACTGATACCAGTGCAGCACAGGCAGAAAGCACACAACGTTCATAAGATTTCTGGCAGGATCAACAGGCATTTTTTCCCCACTTATTGAATATAACAAAACGCTTTTAATGGTATGTTTGACAGTCAAAAATTATTTGCTATAAGAAAAGTTCATTGTTTGGGTGTTACATAAAGTTCATAACGATTAACCACAAAGAGGCTCCATTGTTTTAGGCTAAGCAGCAGGGGCGTCCTGAGGCTGGGTGTTACCCGGAGCGGGTACTGGGTGACAACACGCCGTGACATGATCGCACATGCACATCTTCGTTATACCTGCTGGCGGCCATCTTGGTGATGGATGCCAGCAGAGAGGAGGGGATGTTCACTCGGCTGGATAAGGTATGCTGCCGGGTCCCCTCCTCTCTCCTGCAACTGTCGGGCTCTCAGTCCATGACCAAGTGCTCTACTTTTCTGAGGGGGGTGACAGCAAAATGATTCAATCATTTTGCTGTCACCCCCTCCAATGGTGTCACCTGAGTTCCGGCCTAGTGATGCCACTGCTAAGCAGTACACATATACAAAACAAAGTACAGTCACTGCGCTGACACATCCAGCAGCTCTAATGCTTACCTCCAGACCACCCGCCACAGCTCTGATCCATGGAGGGATTTGCCATAGTCTGCATAGAAGCTTGACACCCCGATGGCCAGTCCCGATGGAGGAGTTGGAGGTGCTGGATGCATCTGCAGATCATCTTACAGTCTACCGCAGGGGTGTGCGTTCAGGGTAACAATGCTGCCTTTCTATACCATTAATGCAACAGAAGCACACTAAACTCAGGAGTCAAACCTTCAAAATACATTCAGTTATCAAAAACAGGGCCGGTGCTGCCGCTAGGCAAACCAAGCAGCCGCCTAGGGCGAAGCCTTGACCAGTGTCTCCCTCGCAATCTGCCAGCTTGTTGGGGTCATTGACCCTTTCGCCTTCACCCCAGATTTTGTCCAGCTTTGATGGTGACTGGCCGGGAGCTGAGCGACGTCCTGCTGTGCGCAGTGACAAATGCTGTGTGGTGGGAATAATCCGTATTCCATTTGTTTTCATATATCGAGTTACTTAAAGGTTCAGCAATGGCCGCCCACGTGACCCTCAGCTTCTCTTGCAGACGTTGCTGCCCCCCTATACGAATGAGGCCGATTTTCAGCCATCTGACCAGGCTGATCGCCACAGATGTCCCTGTACCCGGGGCAGAAATAGCAGCGACACTTCGTCTGCCACACGCGGGCCATTAAAGGTAATTTATAAATGCCGCGTATTGTCATGTGGTTACGTCTACACAACAAATGGCAGCTACAGGGTGCTGTGATACACAAATAAGAAAATCATTTCTGCTAATAGTTAAGTGACTTTAATGTATTGTGGTGCACAGTGCAGGTGTGGTGAGTGGTGCGCTGCAATAATGAAAAATGCAGACACGCTGGGCCTGGATGCCTTCAGGTTACCTCAATGATGCTGTGCAGTGACCTGAATGGCGTGTATACATTGTACACTACCAATAAAGTTACAAAAAAAAAACGGCATGTGAGGTTATACCCAGAAATAGGAATAAACCAACACCTATTATTATACAGGAGTTATATAGCGCCAACAGTTTGCGCAGCGCTTTACAATATAAGGAAGACATTACAATCACAATTCAAGACAAGATGGTAAGGAGGGCTCTGCCCCTGAGGGCTTACAATCTAAGAGAGAGGGGCGAGTGATACATGAGGAGGTAGCTCTGTGGGAATGAATTGTTTGGGAAAGTGATAGTTCATTGGTTAGGTTGAGGTGAAATAGGCTTCCCTGAAGAGATGAGTCTTCTGGGATCGTCTAAAGGTAGACAGAGGAGGAGATAGCCGGACAGTTTGAGGTAAGAAGTTCAAGTCCTGGAGGCGAGCATGGGTACAGTGGATGAGGGAGCTGGAAAGCAGGAGGTCTTGGGAGGAACAGAGTTGACGGTTAGGGTGATACTTTGAGACAAGGTTGGAGATATAGCCGGGGGCAGAGTTGTGGATGGCTTTGTAAGTGGTTGTTAATATATTAATGTTATCCTTTGGGCTATTGGAAGCCAGTGCAGGAATTGGTAGAGGGGGGAGGGGGATGGAAACCAGTGGAGGGATTGGCGAGGGAGTGAAAGGTTGAGTTTTAAGAAGTGTTGCGACATCCAGACGGATATGTCAGTTAGTAGATTAGTAACACGCAAGGACACTGAGGGGGAGAGTTGCGGAGTAGAAAGATAGATTTGAGTGTCATCGGCATAGAGATGATACTGGAAGCCATGTGAGGTTATCAACTGACCAAGGGAGGAGGTGTAGATGGAGAAGAGAAGGGGTCCAAGGAAAGCACTGGAGGTCAACACACAATGTAGCAATGGCCCTCAGATTTCAGATGGTTTGTTTAGACCTTGTATAGATTACATGGGACTCAATGCTATCACCATAAAGAATCGGCCCCCTTCCTTTGATTTCAGAACTGTTTGACAGATTTGCGGGGTGCTCGTGTCTTCTCCAAATTAGACCTTAGAGGGGCCTACACTTTAATCAGGATCCATGAAGGAGATGAATGGAAGACAGCCTTCAGCACCAGAGATGGGCATTACGCTTATCTGGTAATGCCCTTTGGCTTATGTAATGCTCCGGCTGTCTTTCAAAACTTTGTTAATGAGATCTTCCGTGCTCCTTTTTTATGTCTGTGTTATAGTATACCTAGACGATAAACATTTTTTTTCTCCAGGCTTGGACGCCCATTGTCTCCATGTGAAAACAGTTCTTCAGCGACTGCAGGACAATTGCCTTTATGCTAAGTTGGAGAAATGCCTCTTCGAACAAACAGAAGTCCCATTCCTGACGTACATCATCACAGATCAGCGTCTCCTCATGGATCCAGCCAAACTCCGAGATAATTATGAGTGGTCTCAGCCCTCTGGACTTAAAGCCACTCAATGCTTTTTGGGGTTCACCAATTACTACAGAAAATTCATAACTATTTGACTTTGATGACTCCTATTACATCCCCCTTTACCCATAAAGGGTGCCAAAGGCCTGTTCTGGGTGCCTGAAGCCATTGACGCTTTCCGCAAACTCAAAGCAGCCTTCCTCTCCGCCCCAATTCTCCTACGTTCGGAGATTACAAAACCCTTTTCTATGGAGGTTGATGCCTCCTCAGTAGGAGTAGGCGCTGTCCTACTTACAAGCTCAGAAGGGCAAAATGTTGGCCTTGTGCGTTCTTTTCAAATACGTTTTCAGATGCAGAAAAGAACTATACCATTGGGGACCGTGAACTACTGGCTATTAAACTAGTTCTTCAAGAATGGCGACATCTACTAGAGAGCTCCCCACATTGCAATACTATCTATACGCATCATAAAAATCTTCAATATTTACAATCAGCAAAACGTTTGAACCCACAACAAGCTCGGTGGGCTCTCTTCTTTGTCCAGTTTAATTTTAATATTACTTTTCGACAAGGTTTCAAAAATGCCCGTGCTGATGCTTTGTCCAGATCCATCGATTTTGCTGACTCAGAACGTCTCCTCGACCGCGGTCCCATTATTTCTGGCCACTATATGCTTCCAGCCCACTCGTTCTCCTTCAGGAAGGACATTCATGGTACCCAGCCTTCATCCCAAACTCCTTAGGTGGGGACATGACTCCAAAATTTCTGGACATGATGGAGAAAAGCGTACCCGGGTATTTATTCTTCACTACTACTGGTGGCCCTCTCTTCGTAAGGATGTCAAAGAGTATGTGCAAGCTTGCCCTGTCTATGTTCTGTCCAAGTCTTACAAAGTTACATAGTTAGTCAGGTTGAAAAAAGAAACAAGTCCATCGAGTTCAACCTATAGAGATACGGAGAAAAAAGAAAAAAAAAAAGAAGAAAAGCCTAAACAGAACGCTATGCCCACAGCTGCCCCCTGATGATCCAGAGGAAGGCAAAAAAACCCTATAAAGCATGGTTCAATTTGCTCCAAAAAAAAATCCTTCCTGATCCCATAAGGCAGGGATGTCCAAACTGGGGCCCTCCAGCTGGGGTGGAACTACCAATCCCATGAGGCTTTGCAAGATTCTCACAGCCACAGACATGACCCCCGGAGAGAGATGCTTCATGGGATTTGTGTTTTCACCACAGCTGGAGGGCCGGAGTTTTGGACATCCCTGCCATAAGTCAATCGGATATTCCCGGGATCAACAATCTCTGATGCCTAATATACCTATAAGAACTCAATATCCTGGTCCTAAATTCCTACCTGTTGATAGGGTTTGGCTTTCTACCAAGCACATCCGCCTCCGAGTACCATCAATTAAATTTGCTCCACGCTTCATTGGCCCCTTTCCGATGCTTCATCAAATTAATCCAATCACTTTCAAGCTCCGCCTGCCTTCTCATCTGAAGATTCCTAATGCCTTCCATGTCTCTCTTCTCAGACCACAAATCCACAATCGCTTCTCTCGCCCTGCTCTAGCTACTTCCTGTCCTGCCTCCTATCTGTCTCCCTATTTATATCCCTCTCAGACTTCCTTCTGGTTACTTGAGCAACACTTGTTTCTGAGCCTTTTCTGTGCATTTGTTCCTGACCTGATTTCCCATGTATTGATCTCTTGTGTACTGACTCGGCTAGTTCTCCTGATTACGATTGTCTGCTCCCCACCTTTGGCTCATTATCTAGATCTCCTTTTGCTCCATCCATCCTTGCCTTCACTGTGTCTTGTGTCTTTGGGTACTCTCTTTGTGAGCAGGGTGAACCTGGGGGTCATGACCTGGGGTCAGCACGCAGCTAAGTCCAAACTTCCATGAGGAGGTCCTTGGCAGAACATCGGCTGGCCCTTAGATTCCATGCCCCACACATCCCTAGTATTGTGACACTCCAGAGGGCAAAAAGAGGGTCAGAAGAAAGGCGCAAAAAGAATAAAGGCAATTTTAAAGTGCACTTGTTCTTTAACACAATAACAAACTATTGCACAGTGGATTTTGGTGCCTCGTCACACCACTCGTAGAAACATTCTAAACTTCAACAGCTCTGCAGCCTCGCCACCATCGGCTGAACTGACCTTCCAGAACGTTGCTACAATCAGTAACTGCATGCGGTACAAATGCATTTACATAACATTGTTAGTAAGGATAAAAACCTGATGTCCTTCAGATTCACAATCTCACAACTCCAGGAACAAAGGAAGGCAAATCACCGGGACAACTGTTGCTAATTTTGCTGAGGAGGAAGAAAAATTCCTTCCAAAGACAACAGCTAACCCCAATTACTGCAATCTCGTGTAAACTTTAGCATGCTAAAGCTGAACTCCAGCCTTACCTTACGTGCTGATGTCACCCTGAGAAGCCTGCACCATGAGTCTCCATCCCTCTCTGTGTCTCTTGTGTCCGAGTGTTCTCTCCTGTCCACATGCCTCCTCTGTGTACTATCCGGTGACTCCAGTGCATCCTGATCATCCTTTGTCATCCAATCACCCCTGGGACTGCAGTGAATCCTGAGTGTCTTGTGTCATCTCGTGACCCCTGGGACTCCATTGCATTTTGTGCTATCCCATGACCCCTGGGACTCCAGTGCATCATAATCGTCCTGTGTCATCACATGACCTCTAAGACTCCAGTGCATCCTGAGCATCCTGTGTCTTCCCATGACCT